ACTCCTCTTGCGCCTTATACCGCTGTGAGCGCCATTGTTCCTCTAACTTTTGTCATTGATTGATTAGATGATCTTATTAGGATGCTCTGCGTTGAAACATGTTTTGTTGTTATCTTGTTTTGAATCTCTAGTTTTAGGTTGGATTACTGAGTTCTGAAATGGGAATTCTTTCTAGCAACTTTAATCAGAAAGGCGATCATCAAAACTCACATACAGGTGTGATGTCTCATAGATTCGTTTTTTACTCTCTGGACCTGTCTAACACCTAAACGGTTATTAACTTTGTTTCTTCTGTGTTTGTTTTTTTATTTACAACGAAGACGGTCTTTTCCGTTGTAAAAAAGAAGAAAGAATGTAGCAATGTGCCCCAGTTTTAGTGAATGAAGCCATTTTACTTGGTTTCATAATATTCTTCTTTTGTTGTAAAAGAGACAACTGTGGTAATTTAATTGTAATCTCCTTGGCAATGGATTATCCAGCTGTTTTGTTATCAATAATGCAGCTCTCTGCAGCTTTTTGGTCCCTATTTAGTTCTTGTTCTTGCACTTTCGTGATTCACGATCAAGAACTTCTCTGCAGGTAGCCATCGGTTCTGTAGAATATCCAAACCAGCTCGCAGTTAAAAGCGCCATGATTAAGCAGTTATTGAAAGACTTCAAGGTGGCTCATGTTAGCAGTCTCCAGCTTAGGAGAAGAGAGGAGAACGAAAGAGCCTTGGGACAAAGAAGTAGAAGGTAAGGTACTTATTCAACCCTTAAAATCCCGTTTTAGATATTACATTGGATTTTTTTTTTTGTCTTAGCTATTGTCTCTTGCAGTAGTGGTACACCACATCCATTATTTTAATAGATGTTTTCAACCTCTAATCCATAGACTTAAGAGTTTTAATCTCAAATGTTTCTCAACATTATGATCTCCTAAACCCTCTCCTTCATCATCTTCTCATGGAAACATCGTTTCCTTTAAGCAGGCTTGTAGGAAAAAGTCTCTGAGCAGAGTTTCATCTTCCCTCCAAACCAAGGTGCGAAACCTCTCAAGTCATTGTGTTAAACCATGGCAAACATTACATCATTAGTTCTTGCAAAACAGCTACTCCTTTCACTTTTATGACGAGCTTAATGATCCAAATGTTCTTTTTTGTTTGTTTTGCTTCAGTGATTGCAAGTGACCAAGCTTTAAATACAGGACATGCAGATATGCTCTTGTATTTTTTTTTTTTAAACATGTCGGTCTTTGGCTACGGATTCATGTAAGGGTTTTACAAGCTTGAGTAATAAATTGTTTACGTTGGTTTTACTTTTTTGTCAAATAAGAATCAAATAGTGAACAAAATAAATCATGAAGAGGTTCAGCATTGGAGGAAGAAAAAAGAATAGAGTTCTAAACTATTCATTACTCAAAAAAAAAATATTATAATATTCCTATGAACCCCATGAAGGGGTTTAGCATTGGAGATGCTCTAACATTTGTAGCCTTTCTGAGTTGTGGAGTACCAACAAATATGCACTTTATGCTTTTTGGCTGAAGTTTGTTTCTTTGATCATCTGGAACATGAACATAACAAACATAACCAAAAACTTTTAGAAAATCAACAGGTGGTTTAATTTTGTTGAGTACTTCATATGGTGAAATGTCCTTAAGACATTTGGTTGGAAGACGATTGATTAGATAACAGGCGGTTGAAACAGCATCACCCCAGAAGTGTTTTGGAACATTTTTGTGGAACATCATAGTCCTTGCTACTTCCATCAGAAGACGGTTTTTGCGCGCAGCTACACCATTCTGTTGGGGAGTGTAAGGACAAGAAGTCTGGTGCACGATTGATAACACCGTATTTTGACCACTTTTATGGATCGTTTAGAAATATTTTTTCTATGTTTTTAATTGCTTTTAAGTACTTTTATCACGTTTTTCTAGTATTTTTAGTTCCAAAACTCTTTTCAGGTAACTTAGAGAAAAGCTTAACAAAATGGATAGAAAACCAGATTTCAGCTCAGAGTCAAACCGTCAGAAGTTCACCCTTGATTGAAGGCCTTCTCACCGTCTGATCCAGCTCAAATTTAGAGATCTTAAAGATGGAAGTATCAGCTTTCCAGCACACTTTACAGCTTGGCAATCCAACTGTTCAATCAAAAGATACGCGAAGAGCAAGATGTCCCGTAAACCAGCCGGCAAGCAATTCCACCCGCGGCCAACATGCCATCTCCCGCGGTCAGAAGCATCCCGACCGCGGCCAGCAGTCCATTCCCCGCAGTCACAGTCCTCTCGACCGCGGCAAGCCAACTCCGAGCCGAAAAGCCCATTTCTGAAGCCCACAATGATTCCCTCATTTGGAGAAACCCTAAGTGACTTCCTAAGCACTATAAATACATGTTTTAGGAACCCTAATCGATGATCTCAGAAAAAAGAACCGAATTATTACTTCATACTTTTATTGTTTTTGCTTTAGCTTTTAGGGAGAGAGAGATTTGTCTCTTGAACCCTTGTTCTTTCTTTCTCAATTTCGGTTTCTATTCTACTTCTTAATACTATGTCTTTGATTTCGTTCATCATGTCTGAGTAGTTTTATTGTTGGGATTAAGAGATTTTTTGATGGGGATTTATATGTTCGATGAGGATTCCATGAGCTTTTGAGCCGAATCTTAGAACTTTTTCTTCTGAATTCGTTTTTACTGCATGAGAGTAGCGTCATGAACTACAATCTGATCCAGATGCTTGGTGACACGAAAGTGTTCATCCGGTGTCAGATCTAGTTTGGGAGAGCAAAACAACCATAAGAGTTGAAACCTACCTATGGGCGATTTGTGAATGCTGACGAGTCTTAAACATAATGCATCTCTTCTCTTCCAGGGCCAGAGTGGAAACCTACTGGTCAGGGTTGAGAGATAGTTGTCTATGATCATGACAGTGGCGTATTCATACGTCCGTGACTCCAGTTCGAAAAGTTTAAGCTAAGATCTTATCAAATTTACTCTCTAGCAATGTTTTGAATCGTTCGTACCCCTGAGAAAACTTCCCTGAAGCCCAACGCCCTCTTTCCTATAGATTCACACCGTTTTTATTTCAAGCTTTAGTTCAATATTCTCATTCCTTTTTAGTTAATTTTCATTTAAGCAATTAGAATATCCATTTTTCTCATTTTTATTCATTTTCGTTAAGTTTAGTTATTAGGCCATTTAATTCCCGTAGTTTCTTTTTAGATTTCGTTTTTACATTTTAAACACACCACCAAAACCCCCACAAAACCGTTTGGTTCTAAACTTCCTTACTTTATATTTCTTTCAAAGGCTTTTGCAGGAAAAGATCCTCCTTCCCTGTGGATTCGATCCCTAAATAGTACAATCGATCAACTGTGCACTTGTGGCTATTGATTTCATTTAGGGTAAAACTTGACAACCCTCAACACACACCACATCAACGATCCCATGTTTAGCTGCGAAGGCTTTGAACTCATTACGGGTGTATTCACCTCCATTGTCAGTCCGCAAGGTCTTGATCTTAGCACTGTATTGAGTTGAAATAAATCTGTAAAACATGTTATAATGACGTTTTTATAATCATTGTACTTTCGAATTAATATGAATAGACAGGTTAGAATAATTTTTTTTTAATCACGGTCATATATATACTACAAAAAATAAACTAATAGAAACAAATTATATATAAACAGAAAAATGAATATATCACTTCTTAGAAAATTATCTATAAACAAAAAAAAAATACAAATTATATTACAAAATTTGATAAATTATAAATAGTTTCCGTGCAGATACACATGATAGAATCTAGTCATATATATTATAAACGAAGTAAAATTTTGATTTAAAACTCTCTCATTCAATCTCAGGGTGGCTAGTTACCCTTTACTTCATCTTAAATTTGTTTAATTTTTTTAAAGTAAAAAATAGAAAAAAATTGTTTAAATCTAAAATCTAAAATCACAATTAAATATAAGTTGTAATAGTAAAAAAATTCTAAAATTCACGATTTTATCTGAATCTGAATTTTGTTATATCATTAGCCTATATATATACCACATACATTGACAACAACCTCCTACTTTTTTCCTGAGTACTAACGTATTAGGTTTAGCTCTTGTTCTTGCTTTTTTATCCTCTCCCTTTTTTACACATTCGATATGGAACTAATTAGTTTCTTTGAAAAAATTATAGGGGTGTGCTTGTTTGTTGGCATCAAAATTTGATTGTGTAGTTAGACTCTTCTAATGAGATCTCCAGATATGTGTTTGATTTTGTGATATAGATTACCATATTATAATATAGATTATCGGTTTAATTATCCTCTCTTTCATTATATTATATATGATTTAGGGTTACAACATATTTTCTAACTCTTATTACTTAAACAAAGGCATATATCAGCCTGCGAATCGGCATGGAGGTCTCTTGCTTTACGTAGGCATAAAAGCAAATTACAAACTTGGATGGAATGCAATCAGCTTTATCACGAAGGAAGGAGATTGACAGATCCTGAATTTCCTTCAAAGTGGCTTTGGGATCCAAAGCAAAGGAAGTGGCGACCCAATCTCTGATTTTTAAAACATTCCCTTAGACTATAAAGTTCATTGAATTCCATATTATTTAGTGCTTGAGTTATTTAGGACCATATGTTATATTCAGTTTCCTTTTATGAATTCCATCTTATTTAGTGCTTGAGTTATTTAGGACCATATGTTATTCCTTTTGTGTATTCCACCTTATTTAGTGCTATTTAGTGCTAATTGAGTTATTCATTGTTACTTGCCCTTCAAATATTTGAAAGATTTCCCAAGTATTCAAAACGGAAAATACGATAAAACTGTTCTCATAGGTTACTGTTTGATATTTAATCTTCCTTTAAATTTTAAAAAAGAAAAATATGAATCTGTAATATTGATACTTTTTTATTTGTATTCAGACGTCGTAGGTCAAATTGTTAGTCTTACCTCTTCAGATGTTTTGGCTAAAGGCAAAAAAACTAAAAAGTTGGATGTGGTGTTACGTGATCCTGTGTAAGTTTCATAATATTTTAATTTTGGGAAAACCTTATGATAGTTTGTTTGACAGAATTTCCCACCACATTGATCGACACTTAACTTGTTCTCTATGGGGATATTTCGGGGATCCAGTTTCAGAATATGTTGCCAAAAACAGTTCATCTGTGGTTATTTGTGTCGTCATATTGGGATGTGTTTCGAAATGGCAAGGTATACTAGCCTTATATTGTTTTTTTACATCGTCAATTTTTAGGGTTTTTCATCTTTATAATGGAATACAAATTTAAAAAATGTTGTACAGGTGTTTACAGTATATCAAACGCCTTTAACGCAACAAAATTTCTCCTAGATCCACTATCCCAACAGTGTCAGGATTTCAGATCCTTGTGTGAGTTTTATTGGTTCACCTTGTGTTTATACAGTTCATCTAATTTCTGTAAAACTATTTTATTGGTTAATTATAAAATTTGATGATATTTATATATATATTTAGGTTGCCTCAAGACAATTTGTTAATCAATAGTAATCAAAGTTCGCCCTCAACGATAACCAATACCGACTCTTGGCATGATGAGTTCTTTGCAAAAAAATCCAAGAAAAACCATTCATAGAAATATCTATGCCACTGAGGTACTATTTGTTCATTTGTTATAGTATTAAGGATTGAAAAACGTTAATTGTTAGTTTTAAAATAATTCTATTTAGGCCATTAAGTGTGTCCTTCCTGCGAAGGTGGAAAGTGTCGAGTATAATCCCCAATGGTATTATATTGCTTGCCCAACCTGCAATAAAACAGTACATCCAGTTGAAAACGAATCTGACGATGGGAGTCCTCCTCTGTTTGATTGTAGTAAGTGTGATAAGCTTGTTTCTGCTATAGCTAGGTACGTATTTTTTACTTCAAAAGTTATTCAAAATTAAAAAAAAATTATAGCTTTATATGATCCTACTAATGTTTCTGTAGATATAAGCTTGTCCTTCGTGTTATTGATGACTCGGAAGAACAATTGAGGTTTATATTCTTTGAACCAGTTGCAAGTGCCTTTTTACGTAACTCCGCCGATATGTTAGCTAATGAAGTTGCTGGGGTAATTTACACTTTTACATACTTTTACATTTTCAAGAATTTTTATAAGTTTAATAAGTTTTTATGCCTTATGTTTTTAACAGCAACCACCCTCCGTTTTGCCTCAAGCTCTAGCCGCTCTGGTCGGAAAACGTGTTCTTTTTAAAACTGGTATATCTCCTAACAACCTGAAGAGCACCAAAGCATCTTACAGAGTCGAGATAATTATTGATGATGAGGACATGCTTGCAGAGTTTGATGATTATTCTTTACCAGCGGTATGTTATCAATAGTACTTTCATTATATATTCAAATGTAATTTATTAAAACAAAATGATTCAACCTTTTACAGATTTTCTGTATTTAGCCGGTGAAAGTTGTTGATGAACTACAAATATCAAATGATGGTCCGGTCATGACGCCACCGTTGGTTGGAAGAGGGACTCTGATTTGGATATTCAAACACCCGAAACTAATGAGAAGGATGGGAGTGATAAGCGGGGAAGGATAACTACTATTCAGAAGTGAATTTTTCAAGCGTTTTAATTTTTAAAAAGGTGTTTTGGATTTAGTTTAGATTTTAAAAAATTAGGGTTTTAAATTCTTTACAATTATTACATTCTTCAGGTTTTGGAAGTTTTACTTTAGTTTCGCTGTTCTTCGATAAGTGACATTGATTTATTACTTTTGAATTGGACAAATCATTAAACAAACGATATTTGTGATCACACATTACAAGATAATTATATTCTCTTATTACGTATGCGGAAGTTTTACAGCTATTCTTTGGGTATAATGGCTGTTGAGCATAAATAAGTAGATGCATTTGGGTAAATACAAAAAGCGAAAGCACCACGAAAACATAAGGAGCTAAACACTAGAGATTATATTAGAAAAAAATTTATAGACATGATGTCGAAAATATCAGTAGCCATAGTTAGGGTAAATTCTCTTGCGTAACGGACCCCTATTTATTTGTTACGACTTATTTTAGGAGAATAACGAAATATCTACATTAACTGTACATCGGATTGAAAAATATTTGAAATATATATATATATATATATATATATATATCCAAATAATTGCAAACCTTAGGTTGAATATTCTATGGTATTTAATCATACGTTTACAAACCGGTGCAATATGTAATCTATAAAACAGTTATTATCATTATCTACCTAAACTAAATTAAAAAAAAAAAACAAATATATCAAAGAAAATTTATATCTACCTTTGATGATGATATATAAAAGATTCCTTAAATCTTCAAATCTTATCTACTTAAAAAGTTTAACTTGCGGCGAACTATTAATGCAGAATTATTTAAGCTGCCAAATCCTATATATGCATTTCAAGTATGCATTTAGCTCCAAACATCATCATGGATTATTATCTGACTCTTGATCATATTAATACCAAACGGTCCTGTCGTCGTATCATTGTTAGGGTATTAAGAAAGTGGGAATCAACATGCCCTATTAATGAAAATCGCTCAAAGGGAAATAATTTGCTTCTAATCGATCACAAGGTACCGTTTTACCTTCTTTCATTATAAAGTAGTGGGACACTGTTTATTCATATTATTTACGATTCAAAAAAATTGAGGTTATATAATGATGTTGTTAACCATATACACATGAGAATACTATTCAAGCCATGGTCCATGGGTCCTTACTACCAATGTTTGGAAGCTGTTTAAGTGAAGGAAACATTATAGAGGTTATGAATTTTGGCGTTCATAATAACCGTAGTTCATATCTGATTTCGGATAACAGATACATTATAGTGTTCACTGAGAGAACCATGGTATCTTCTTTTGTTCTAGAATTAAGCACGATTCCATGTGAGAATATATATGAAATTGTTCAGCCGATTTATGAGACTTAAAATGTTAAACACAAACCCATTTTTAGTTTTCACGGGTTAATGCAAGTTGCAGTAATATTAAAAATGACAACTACACGCATATCTGAGTTTAAAAGTATATTGATCAGGGAAGGATTTTCAATGATAAACTTGATCTCGACAAAGTCTAACTCGATCCGGGAAGAATATTCTCGAATAAACTCGAACAGGACAGAGTTTTACTCAATCCGGACAGAGATTTACTCAAACCGAGAAGGATTTTCTTGGATAAACTTGATCCGGACAAAGTTTAACTTCATCCGGGAAGGGTTTGCTCGAATAAACTCGGTCCAAACAAAGTAAAACTCAATCTGGGAAGGATTTTCTAGGATAAGCTTGATCCGGACAAAGTTTAACTCAATCTGTGAAGAATTTTTTCGGATAAACTCGATCCGGATAGAGTTTTACTCAATACAGGAAGGATTTTCTCGGATAAACTCGATCCTATCGGGAATGATTTTCTGGAATAAACTCGATCCCGACAAAGTTAAACTCGATCAGGGAAGAATTTTCTTATCGTAACTTCAACCGGGAAGTACTTCTCATACAAACTAGGTCCGAACAAAGTTTAACTAGATCAGGGAAGGATTTACTAGGATAAACTTTATCCGGACAAAGTCTAACTCGATCCAGGAAGGATTTTCTCGGATAAACTCGTACAAGACAGAGATTTACTCAACGCGGAAAAGATTTTCACGGATAAACTCGATCCGGACAGAGTTTTACTCGAACGGGGAAGGGTTTTTTTGGTTAAGCTCGATCCAGACAAAGTTTAACTCGATTCAGAAAGGATTTACTCATCGTAACTTCAACCAGGAAGAATAATCACGGATAATAAATACTTAAAAGTATTGATAATAAATTCATAAAATACTTAAAATATTAACGTGGACGACACACATAAACCAAACTACACAGAGTTCAAATTGTTTTACATACAACATACAAAGTTTAAGGATGAAATCCAACTGACAAAAGAAGTTTAACTCAAGTTAAACCTTTTCCGGATCCGGAATCTATTGACATACAATAACATAAGTGTGGGCTATATTGCATAGGAAATGTATATGTTCCAAAATGTAAGAACTAATTTAATACGTCCTTAATTTAAAGAAAACACTCCTCCTGCGCGAGTCGCAGGCTATCCACCTAATATAGATTATACGGTAAAGTTTTACTAAAGTAAAATAAATACCATATAGAAGAGAACATAAGAGAGAATTTATTTTAGATAATCACAAATCTTAGATTATCACAAATCTTAGATTATCACGAATCTATATTAATATAACGAATGAAAATGCTAACAGCTTTGACACCAAGAACGGCTAGTACAAGATCAATAATACAAGAGAGATTCACTGATAAGAGGGCAAAAAAGCAAGATCAACAACGTTCTCGTCTCTGTAAATAAACTTTCCTTGTTCCTTCAGTTTATCACTGTGTGTACCTAATACAAATTGAAGAATTTGTTTGTTGACATTGTTTTTTTGCTTCTTTTAGCAATGGGGACTCCTGCAAATATCCAAAGAGATGCTGATGCTGCTCCATCATAATCACAATTTCCTCAAGGACAATTCTCTGCTACTCCTGATTCTGCTAATGCCCCACGACCAAATTCTCCCAGTAATAAATCTATTCACTTTAATTTTCCCTCTGTTTCTATCTTTTTGCCTTCCGTTAATCTCAAACCGTGTGTTCTTTGTTTTGTCTGTGTTTGACTTCTTATAGCAACCGATTTTTGGAACGACCTTTTGACTACTTTGGCTCAGATTAATAGCCAATTGGCTCAGATTAATAGCCATTTGGCTCAGATTAATAGCCATTTGGCTCAGATTAATAGCCGTTTGGCTCAGATTAATAGTAATGCCGATCAGATTCTCACACTAATGATTGCTGGACATGAACTTGTACCACCACCCTCCTAGAGACAGCGAGTTGAGAAGGAGCAAGTGGGAGAGGGCAATGAACCAGCAGCGAACCTGCAGGATAAGAAGCAACAACCGCCACAATAAACGCATGGACATACCTGGGAATTCAAGGTCTCGAAGATACATTAGATGGTTGACAGAGCGATCAGATTCTCACATTATTAGCATAGTTTTTGATTTTTAGACTAACATTGCAGACACATACAGTATGTCGCTATGAATGATACTTTAGTTGCGTAGTCTCTTTTATATCATCTATTCACTATAAGTACTAGGTTACTAGCTAAGCATAAAAAAATTTCATAAAACAAAAAATTACTAATAGAAAACATTTTCAACAGATAATTTATATACAGTAAAATTTCTATAAATATAAGGCATAGGTCAAACTCTTGTAATAATAAAAAACTGTCCCCTTATAATAACTAGAATAGACAGTCATAACAATAAAGAAATACTAGTTAACTTGTCCGCTCCTAGGGCGGAATGATTTAATTTTTTATTTGAGTTTTTGAAAATATAGTAGTAGTTTGATTTTTCTTTTTTATTGAGTATGCATTTTATTGTTTGTAGACGATTTTTTAAATTGTTTAAATGATTAAAAATGAGTAGAAAAATGCATGTTAATATAAAAAAAATTTGTTTAAATTGTTTCAAAATCTTTTGGTTATTATTCTACTTATTTTAGACATGGTTTGTTTGTGTTATTCAGAGTTTATTTTTTTGAGTTTAAAATCTTTTGTTATGTATTATGTTTGGTGTTTTAGGTATTTTTTTTTTTTTTGTCATAGGATAATGGTAGGGAGTATTATGTGTCTTTTTAAACTTTTGGATGTTTTTTTTCTTTGTTATTGTATCTCTATTGTTGTGCATAGTTGTTTTTATAATTTTTTGTAGCCTATTTTTAATCAAATGAAAGATAATATATAGTATAGCACTCCTAGATAATAATGAAGTTAAGCATATTAATAAAAAGTATTGAACTAAAACAGAGTAATTTTTAGTTTGTGTATTGTGAATAATTGATTCTGAGATAAATATAAAATCAAAATTAATTTTAAATTTAATCATAAAATCGTTTTAAATAACTTTGTAAATAATAATGAAATAATCTTTCAATGCAGTTTGATATCTTACTCTAAATAATATTTGCATTATTTAAAAAATATAGTCTATATGTTGGCAAAAATCTCCTTGTAGACGATATTTTTTATGGTTTTGTGTGGTGTTTCTTTGTTGTCAGTGATCAATATCTTTAAGTCCTTTCTCGGTGTGACTCTTAAAAGTGCAATGTAAAGTTGACCATGAGAGAAAGCTGGTTTTGGCAAATACAATCCTACCTTCTCCAAAGTCTGACATTGACTTTTGTTTATCATCATTACAAAAGCAAGCGATACTGAAAATTGTCTTCTGTACATCTTGAAAGGGAATCTTGCATCGGCTGGAGTAACAAATATTCTTGGGATTAAATCTTTCTCGTCTACTTCACTGTTAGATTTTATTGTAATCACTCTTGCTTCGATAATGTGATTTGCTAACTGAGTGACAATAAGCCGTGTGCCATTGCACAATCCTCTTTTTGGATCAATGTTTCTAAGCAAAAAATAGGAGCTCCGATCTTCAGAACCAGTGTATGATTAGGCAAGCCTGAAATTTTGATGCTGTTCAAGAGTTCTTGTGTGTAGACAATATCTTTTGGAAAATCTTTGTCCAAAGTATCTATATCATCTTCTGGAATTACCACTCTTTCCGATGGGTCAATAATATCAGCGTGATGTGGTGTTGAGTGTGGGTGTCAAGTTTTACCCTAATTGAAATCAATAGCCGCAAGTGCACAGCTGATCAATTGTAGTACTTAGGGATCGAATCCACAGGGAAGGAGGATATTTTCCTGCAAAAAGCCTTTGAAATAAGTTAAAGTAAGGAAGTATAGAACAAAAACGGTTGTGTAGGGGTTTGGTAGTGTGTTTAAAATCTAAAGACAAAATATTAAAAGAGAATACGGGAATTAAATGACGTAATAACTAAACTTAACGAAAATAACTAAAAATGATAAAAATGGATATTCTAATGCTTAAATGAAAATGAACCAAAAAGGAAAGGCAATATTGAACTAAAACTTTAAAGAAAATCAATGTAAATCAATGGGGCTTCAGGTTTTCTCAGGGGTACGAACGATTCAAAAAATTGTTAGAGAGTAAATTGGTAAGATCTTAGCTTAAACTTTTCGAACTGGAGTCACGGACGTATGAATACGCTACTGTCGTGATCATAGACAACTATCTCTCTCAACCCTGACCAGTAGGTTTCCACTCTGGCCCTGGAAGAGAAGAGATGCATTATGTTTAAGACTCGTCCTAATTCACAAATCGCCATAGGTAGGTTTCCACTCCTATGTTTGTTTTGCTCTCACAAACTAGATTTGATACCTGATGAACACTTTCATGTCACAAAGCATCTGGATCAGATTGTAGTTCATGACGCTACTCTCATGCAGTAAAAACGAATTCAGAAGAAAAAGTTCTAAGATTCAGCTCAATAGCCAATGGAATCCTCATCGAACATATAAATCCCCATCAAAAATCCCTTAATCCCAACAATAAAACTACTCAGACATAATGAACGAAATCAAAGACATAGTATTAAGAAGTAGAATAGAAACCGAAATTGAAAAAGAAAGAACAAGGGTTCAAGAGAACAAATCTCTCTCTCCCTAAAAGCTAAAGCAAAAAATTATTCTAAAACAATAAGAAAGATAGATGATGATCGATTAGGGTTCCTAAGACATGTATTTATAGTGCTCAAGACCTCTCTGGACGTCACTTAGGGTTTCTCCAAATGAAGGAATCATTGTGGGCTTCAGAAATGGGCTTTTGGGCTCGGAGGTTGATGGCCGCGGTCGGGAGTGCTCTGACCGCGGGGAATGGGTGGTTTGCCGCGGTCGGGATGCTCCTGACCGCGGGAAATTGCTTGTTGGCCGCGGGTGGAAATGCTTGCCGGCTGGTTTACGGGACATCTTGGTCTTCGCGTATCTTTTGATTGAACCGTTGGATTGCCAAGCTGGAAAGCTGATACTTCCATCTTTAAGGTCTCCAAATTTGAGCTGGATCAGACGGTGAGAAGGCCTTCAATCAGGGGTGAACTTCTGACGGTTTGACTCTGAGCTGAAATCTGGTTTTCTATCCATTTTGTTAAGCTTTTCCCTAAGTGACCTGAAAAGAGTCTTGGAACTACAAATACTAGAAAAACATAATAAAAGTACGTAAAAGCAATTAAAAACATAGAAAAAGTATTTCAAAACGATCCATAAAAGTGGTCAAAATACGGTGTTATCACAGCGCTTAAATAAACTCTTTCCTCGCCTATAGAATTAGACAATTAGAGAGTTTTGAGATATTCAAAATCTAAGTAGGAAGACGTGTTAACATATATTGTATTGTTAAATAAACTCTTTCCTCGCCTATATGTGCATGCGGTAAACCCTTCTTTTGAAACTTAATTGCTTGTAAAACATGATTTGCCATCTGTGTAATCTGTAGTTTTGTGCCATTGCATAACCCTCCTTTAGGATCTAAGTTTCTGAGGAACATAACAGGAGTACCGATCTTGAGACGTAGACAATGCTTTGGTAATCCAGAAACCCTAGTACTGTTCAAGAAATCGGGAGTGAAAACAGGATTTTTCGTTGATGCTATATCTGTTGGATCTATACTATTGGCACTTAGATAGACCATTTCTTCATCTGTGAAGTCAAAAAAAAAAAAAAATATCAGCCCAGTTATCAACCAAGATATTTGGATTGAGTTTCTGTGGGGTTAATACTGATTGAAAATTGACCAATGACAGGTAGTTGTTTTGAGGTCGTGGAACACATTTTCTTACAACAGTCATAGCGAGGAACCCCATTTTGTTAGCATGATTGGTTGGCCTGAATTTTCCAGTTGCGTGATTCAGGCCAAAGTTTTCAATTGATCTCCATTCACCTTCACGTAAGTTTTTCTCAAATGTTTTAACATGATCCTTTTTAACTGAAGCATAGATCTTTTGTCCCTGTCAACATAATTGCAAGAATGTTAGTATACTTTGAGCAAAGCATGTTTATAAACACATCTCTATAAAAGAAAAATAACAGTAGGACATTTACATAAATATAACCTTTTGATCAGCTAAAATGACTTCAAGTGTTTCTCCACTCATCCTACTGTATTGTTTCCATGTATGCAGGACTTTGACTTCAACACGCCAGCCGGTTTTGAACGGCTTCACTCCGTCGAGGTAGGAGATTGGTAGAAAAACAGCCATTTTGATGTAATGTGATTTTCGTATATGTGTTTGTTTAGGTGTGGGCGTATATGTTATGAAAAGGTAGTTTTTATAATTGTTTCTAGTCTAGGATTTCAGGACGATGCATTTAAGACATTGCATTAATTACGTTGCTTTGGTTGGCAAGATTTTCTAAGAGAAAAAAATTATTATATTCGAATAACTTGGTTGTTTAAAGCCTCTCGGCTTGAATATGAGAAGAAGTTTTATACGTTTGATATTACAATATTTGGTGCAATTACATAATAAATTTGTCATCTCTTCGTATAACCCAGTTTGTTGAATATGGGAATAAATTTAATTCTTTCATATATGGTGTAATCTTTGGTGCATCTACATAATAAAGTTGCCATTATACGAAAGAATATTTACTTAAAAAAATAGTTATTATGATAGGAAAATATCTTGAATAAGTCAATTTGTGTATGAATGACAAATTTATTACGAAGTAAACTCAGTTTACCTTAAATTGTCATTGTACGAAAAAAACTTGCCATATTTGAAGAATATTAAGTTTACCGAAATTTTTTTTTTCCATATACAAAAAGAGTAAATCCAATTTTTTATGATATTTTGGCCCACAATTTGATGGCCCAATATTAATACATAAGGATTAATTATACAATAACTTATAATTAAAAGTTAATTTATATAAAATATTCTGCAATATTTTACAAATTAAGGTTCATTTAAATAATTATCTACTCAAATAATAATATAGAGATATTTCAAAGTTAATATTATATACCCAAGCTAATAAAATAGATTTGGTCCAGACTTATAATCAAAGATGTGCCAAAATCATGATAGCAAGTCTATCAATTATGGTCGATTAAAAAACATATATATATATATATATATATATATGAATACATATGAATACATATCAAAATAAAAAAAGTAAGACCATATCAAAACTAATAATAGTCATCATTAGACATTGAATATTCTGACCAAAAAAACTCGTTCAGGCCATCATAGTTTAACCACATAGAATGATTGGCAGTTCCATTCTTGTTCTTTTCAGTTCCATGCAGACTTAAACTTTAGAGTTTAGCTCACACGAACGGGAGCCGGACTGTGAAAATATGCCTAAACATTTCAACAATTAAACCCAAGCACATAAGAAAAAAAACACTAAAATCTATTCATTCATCCAGCTCAGAGACCAACGAATAACAAATTAACAACAATATAAAATCCAAAAAAATAAAATAAAATAAAATAAAAAATTAAAAGAATGCGAGAAAAGGAAAATAATCACAAAAGGGAAATATGGGAGACTATGTCACACAAACAAAAAAAAAAAAATCGCCAAGTGATTAAAACAGAATGAAACAAATGCAATGACAGAAAGCCTGTTTGCTAGCCAAGAAACTGATACCTCGTTCGAGCAGGAATGACGTATACACCAAGCAAATATTCCAAGAGTTAGAACCACCTACACCAACAAAACAACAAAATTCTCTGATCAGTTATCAACAAACGATCAACACATAAAAACAACAAAAGATTGAAGAACACCTTCTCCGATTTTAAAATTTCAAAGAAACAAAATTAGAAAAAGGAAACAAATAATTAGAAAACAAATTACAAAAGGGAAGATGAGAAATGATGGCACATGTTACAAAAACAATAAAATCGACCGCAAAAGATATATATATATATATATATATATATGTAAAGTGTTAAATACCTAGATAAACCCAAACTAGAACACGATGGGATATATATATATATATATATA